CTATAGTGCTGAGTAGTGCGTGTAGTGATGCTAGAGTCCTGCCTTTCCCATGTTCTATTAAAATCCTTTCAGATCACAACTGATTCCTGCCAAACAAGAGTTATGTCCTGGAAGTTGGGACCATCTTTGCTGTTGTCATATCCCTAGAGCCTGTCTGAGTACCTGACACTCAGTAGATGTCAGCCACTGAGCCGAGCTACCAGAATAAGCAGCAGACCCAATGACAGGTGTCTCTGAAGATGCAGTATTCGAGGGAGACTCTCAGAGGCCATTGCAGTCACTGGCAGTTGGTGCTCAGGCCAACTTTTATGTTTTCAGCCTAGCCATAGAGCATCACATTCCACCATTGCTGTACAGGAAGGTTATAGGGGTAGGGATGAAAAAATATTGGCACCTTTTTCCTCTTAGATCAATTAAAACTGAGTCTCGAAAGCCCAGAAATCGGGAAGAAGCTAATGCAAGTGTTTCAGAATCAAATGCCTTTGAAAAGGTCAAGGAAGAGACAACAAGGAGAGGTGGGAGTTTTGCCCACTTGCAAGAGTTTGCCCTTTCTGAAGACATTCACAATTTATTTCTCTTAAACACTCTGCTGGTGAAATAAATCCATTAGTGGATCAAGTTCCTTGGCATGCCAGTTCCCCACTCCACGTCATCAGAAGTCTGTAAGTGACCCAGAACTTCAAGTCAGGCTGGGAGACATGGCATGGCTTTTGAAGAAACCCCAGAGATTTCTGTGGCTCTGTGCCACCCCACTCATTACCCTCCCTAAACAGCAAACACCATCTTCCTGAAGCTGGAATTTACTTCACTTCTTTATTCTTCAATCTAAAATTATTGGAAAAAGTTATTGGATCAAGTCCTTGTGACTTTTATTTAAACTAATAATACTAAGGTAGAGAAATATAAAAAACACAGGCATTAAAAAAACAGTTTATGCTGGTACTGCACAGCTGGCTTTCCATACAAGTGGATTCTACATCTGAGAATTTACCCAATCCTGGATAGAAAATATCGGGAAAAAATTACAACTGCAATGAACACGTACAGACTTTTTTTTTCTTGTCATTATTCCCTATGTAATACTGTATAACAAACACTTGTGTAGCATTCATGTCATATGAGGTATTATAAGTCATCTTATAAGTGATTTAAAGTATAAGAGAGAATATGTGTAGACTATACACAAAAGCTATGACTCTTTAAAAAAATTTTTTTGCAGTAGTGGGTTTTGAACTCAGGGCATCAGGCTTGCTAGACAGGCACTCTACCTGTTGAGCCACTCCGCCAGCCCAAAGCTGTGTTATTTTATATAAGAGACTTGAGCAACCATGAATTTTGGTTTCTATACTGAAGGACAACTGTATTTCCTTTGTGGTCCCTTTTCTGGAATATCAAAGATCTGAAAACATTAGAGCATGAAGCAAATGTGACCTGTTTTTGTGAGAATGTGACTAAGGTATAAGGAATTCATATTTTAAGAGAACCTCGTTAATCAGCCCTGACAAAATTGAAGGGCAAGTCACCAAAATTTTCAGGCATTTCTTTTTTGATGAAGGGTATTGTCAATAGACTCAGTTCACCAAACCCCACTCCCCCAAAGAGCAGAGCCTTTAATTGTCTTGGAAACAGGAGTGCACCCATAGTACACTTAAATGTGAGCAGAACTCCTTGACTGTTTCTTTGGGATTAGGAAGAATTGAATGGGAATGTCTGCAGGCAGAGCTGCCTTGTGAGCCTAAATGGAGCAAGTATTCAATAAGAGGGGTGTCCTGTGGCACTCCCTGGAGGATCCATCCATTACCACTGTTATTATTGTTCACTGAAGGCAGAGCCAATATTTTGTTTTTCAAGTGTTTTCAGTGAGCCAAAATTGAACAAAGCAAGCTGAAGTTAATCTTTACTGTAGAAGAAGCCCTAAAGATTAGGCGGTGTGATAAAGGCACTAACCGGTTTCCAGGCATTTGTCAGGTCTTCCTGAAGGAAGGCACTATATACCAGGGGACGAGCAAACAGCATTTGTGTCCTATGATAAAGCAAGTCTTCCTCTTCATGGCTGTGAAAATGACGTATTTCTTAACTACATGCTGCAGATGAATCATTTTTTGAGGCGCATCTATGGATATAAAGAGCTTCTCAGTTGTTCAAAGAAAACAAACAAAAACCAAAACACAAACCCTGCTCCTGCCCTGAGATGTATTTTTAGGGATTTTTAAAGAATCTGTTCCCTACCTCCTAGTGTCTGTTAATACAGTGAAAAAATACTGCAGACCCCCAGAAATGGCCACTATCATATGAAGACCCCCCCCCAGATAAATAAAGGGGCAGTTATCATAGGACAGGGTACTTACTGACATTTCTCAAAAAAAGTGCAATTATGTACGAACAATGCATAGATATATTCAAATTTTTTAAAGATTTTTGTTCAATGAGTGGAAAGCTGAGCTTTGGCGTTCTTAAACATTGTGAACTATTCCATGGCTAACAGAAATGACTTGAGTATTTGTGGCATGAGTTCCAGAGCAAAGTGGGATGGTGACAACCTGAAACCAGTGGGTCTGTAAGCTTTGTCTCTGATCTTAGGAAAACAATATGCAGAGACATCGCTGTGGTTGCACAGTCTCAAAATGGGAATAACGTGGGAATAACGTGGGAAGTCTGTCTCCTAATAGCCTGGACTGCTCAGATCTGATGTGGTCTAAGAAAATCTCACAGCAGATAATGGGATAGCTTAGAAAGATTTCCTTGAAGCATTAAGATACAGTAGTTTTCCCCTAACTGTGGGGGATTCATTCCAAGGCTCCCCGTGAATGCTTGAAACTGAGAATAGAATGAAATCCTATATATAGTATGCTTTTCCCTACACTACATACCTATGGTGAAGTTTAATTTATAAGTTAGACACAATAAGGGAGTAACAACAATAATAGAATAAAACAACTATCGCACTACACTGTATTGTAATAAAATGGCCCATGTCACTACTTTTGCACTTCAGGACCATTATTAATTAAATAAGGGTTACTTGAACACAAGCACTATGGTACTGTGACAGTCCATCTGATAACAGAAACATCTATTAAGTGACTAGCAGTGGGTAGTATATACAGCATGGATATATTTAGACAAAAGAATAACAAGAATAACTTATACATTGGACAGGTCAGTGAGAGATTTCATCATCTTGTACAGATTGATACAGAATTTAAAATGTACCAGAATTTTCCACTTAATATTTTTGGATTTAGGTAGCTGAAACAGCAGAAAATCAATTCATGGATCAAGGGAGACTATTTTTTTTTGTTACTGGTATATATTCTCTTGCCTCAATTTGTAAGTTAAAAAGGCAGTAAGGATCTTCCAAAAATTAAATAAAATTGTATTACCAAACTGATAGAAGAATACAAATGCCACGAGGGTAGACCATGAGGCCAGACTTGACCAATTATTATACACCTGAACAAGTACAAAGTATACCATTCTTTCTCACACAACCCTAGACATTGTCATCCTGATATCAATTAAACTATGTGAGCTGAATTCTTTGTCATTCTGAAGTGTGAAATTATCACAGAAGCTAGAAAAAAGGTGAATTTAATATTTTAGATACTAAAGCACAAAGTAAAGCATGCATGTCCAATTTCGTGCTAACAACTGAATTTTGGCTTGTTAGAGCTTCAATTATATGCATTATAATGGTGATTTGAAAATTAGATCAGGGGAACTTTATATTGTCTCATTCAAAGGGAATTCAAAGGTCCAGTAAAGAATTGATCTGTTTAGATGTAGTCAATGAAAATGACCATTTTCAAGAAATGGGTGGGGCAGGTGCACATCCATTCTGACCTCAGCATCCCTTAGTGGAGAGATGGCTAATTTCAGACACTGTTTGGAAGACAAAGTGCTTAAGCAAAGCTGAGGCTCCATAGCCATGCTTTTCAGGGAGGTGCCAGGAATCACATGCTCTCTTCCCAAGTGCCAAAGATGCTGGGTTGTTGGCAAACAGATCTGGCTTTTAGCTGGGCCTGACCCTTGAGCCCTTGAATCTAAGCCCAATTTGCAGGTCAATTGCTGTTTTCATACTTGAAAGCATTTATAGGACCTTGAAATAGGATCTGTACTCTTCAGATGTGTTACTCTCTTCTGGCTTGCAGACTTTCTTTCCCCCAGACTACCTCCTCAGTTTATCTAGATTTGCTCAGGACAGATGCTGAAATCAGAATTGATTTGTGTCTGCTTTACCCACTCCTTGAAAATTGGTCATTTTCATTGATTGATCTACACAGATCTTTTCTGGTTTCCATTTGCTTCATCTGAATATGCTTTTGGAGCCTGGATAGCTTCAGTCCACTGAACAAACCCAGAATATTCTTGCTTTTCCCCTGAAGCTTCGAGGGGTTTTATTGTGTTGGTGAGGTGTTGGGTCACAGTGAGTGTGGTCATCAGCTGATAGTGCTGAAGGGTGTGGGAGCCCCAAAATATATCACAGACCTGATCATTTCTGTCACCACATGCTCTAATCCTGGCATATTATTTAGAGCACAAATGCTCCTAGTCCACTTAAGGATACTGTGAGCTTCAGGGACACTGATCTTGTCTTCCAGTTTGGGTAAAGCTGCTCAGTGCTGCCCTCCACACATTAGTGTCCATTGCAGATGGCTCATTAATGACTTGCAAACTCAACTTTTCAGTGTTTAAACCAAACTTCTGAAATCACCTGCGTGTGGGTTAGGCTCTGCCAATCCATGTGCTGACACATTGATAATAAGTAGTTCCTCATAACAGGGAGTGGCAGATTTGTGTATTGTGTTAGGTTGACAGACTTCAGTCTAGAGCAGAAGTAAGGATATTCAATAGCTTAGCTTCTTAAGGGAAACCAGGCACCTGGGCAGAATGGGAGATCTAGTCTCAGACGCCCTCCTTCTAAGATGGGTTTCTGTATCTTGGGCATTTGTAAGAAGCAGTACAAGTTTTAACTCTTTCTTTGTTTCACTTTTTAAAAGCTTTTCACAAATGCCAACTAGTTCTGTAAAAGATGAGACCAATGACAACATCACAATCTTCACCAGAATCTTGGACGGACTCTTGGATGGCTATGACAACAGACTGCGGCCTGGGCTGGGAGGTGAGTGTTGTCTCCCTGGCTGACACCTGTGAGGACCCAGGAAAAGCTTAACCTCAGTCTTTGGTTACTGTTTGCTGGGATTTGAACCATCCCTGAAGGAGCTACCATGCCATGGTTTTGAGCTGGTGGCTGCTTTCTCTTTGCCAAGGATCCTTTGTTATCATTTTCCAGATGTAAGAAGCCGGGGGAAGTGACCTCCCTCAAGTGTCCCTGCGAACTCCCTTCTTCCCAGATAATCCTAAGGGCTATATTGGTTCGCTTAAGAAGGATCCATTTCTTAGGTGGATATCAAAGCTGAGAGTAGCCTATGTTAAGCAATATCATAAAACAAACCTCAAGCTGTCTTATCTGTGCAAAACCTCATCAGAAATCCCTTGTTCAGTGCAGTTGTTCTTTGCATCTTTACACATTATAAGCTTAATTTCTCACTGCAGTCACAGTCATAGTGTTTATGTAGTCTCTCTTCTTATCTAAAAGGAATGTATTCCAAAAATTCCAGTGGATGGGTAAAAAAATTTTTTTTATTTGTGGTACTGGGGTTGGAACTCAGGGCCTTCACCTTGAGCCACTCCACTAGCCCTTTTTGTGATGGTTTTTTTTTGAGATAGGGTCTCATGAACTATTTGTCTAGACTGGCTTTGAGTGTCAATCCTCCTAATTTCTGCCTCCTGAATAGCTAGGATTACAGGCATGAGCTACCAGCACCCAGCTGGATGGTAAATTCTGTATTTGCTATTTTTTCCCTATGCATATAATACCTAGGATAAAGTTTAATTTATAAATTAGGCACCATAACAAATAACTAAAATATACTATATTAAAGTTACAAATTATTTATTTCTAGACTTTTCCATTTAATACTTTTGAACCTAAGCAGACACAGGTAACTAAAACCATGGATAGTGAACTGCAGATAAGGGAGGACTTTTACTGTAGAACTGACAAAACCACACAGATGGTATATGGTGCTTTCAGGGCACAAGTGGCACAGTTTAATTTTTTTCTGAGAATTGTGTGCAGTTTCCAGGAATATTTTCTGCACCTGACTCTAACCATTTGAGATGTGGTACATTTGAACTTGCTCCCTTAGGTGAGATAGAGATCTTCTGACAAATACATTCTTGGAGGAGAAGATTTAGCTCTTCAATTCTTTGCATTTTTTTTTTAACCAGGGAGACACATTTAAAGCATGACTTGCCATTCTCTGCCTTTTCAGCAAGAAAAGCCCACACAGGCTTCTTGATGAAATCCTGCACTGCCCCTCTGAACCAGACCTCGGGGCTCAGCAGCTCTGTCCATTTGAATGCATAGAGAAGGGTCAAGGCGTAGGAGATGCTGAGCTCCATCAGCTCTTGTGGAATCCTGCAGGATGTGGGCCCTTAGGATATAACAGGGAACCTAATGGGCCACCCTTCATCTCAGGGTGCAGTGGGGAGAGAGGCACTCAAAATACACAGCATCACCCAAACACCTGTTCATGTGCAAATGCACACCAAGTAGGTGCTGGGAGATAACTGAGCCAGTCAGGTGAACTGGGATTATTTAGTGTGGGGCTGTAGTGCATTCTGCAGCCTGTGTCCACTCATGACCATAGGGGCTTCAGGGCCCTGATAGTGCCCAGGGAACCTCTCCCCCATGTTATTAGCCTCTTTTATCACTTGTATACATTTACAACAATTTCAATTGAAATAGTAGTCTCTCGGAATAGGAATTTCTAACAACTCATACCATAAGGAGAAGCAGATTTTCCTTCTCAAGCTATCCCTGGACACTTTCTCATTGGTCCTTTCCGTAAAAGCTACTCGATGTCCCCAGTTTTAATTGGAGATTTCTTCCAAGCTAGCTTCCCTCAGCCTGAATTGTACAGCTGTTTTCAAAGCCACTGCTCAAGGTGAGGGCAAGGTTTTGCCCTGCAGGCTGCCATTAAGGTTCCAGGTAGGTTTTCAGAGGAACAAACGGAAGCTCAGGTATTTGTGACACCACCCAAAGCCCCACAGCCATGGCTCCGCAGAGGCAGAAGTACAATGAGAGCTTTCCATGTATCATGGTATTTTATTTGTTATCTTTTGGAACAAGCAACTTGGTTCCACTGGCTATTTTGTCAATCACTCCAAGTTTACCCCATTTGCAAAGAGTGAAACTGGTTAACAGACTAAGGACATCACTGCAGTGCGATGGAGTCCTGACCCAACCTGTGTCTGTGTTTCAGAGAGGATTACGCAGGTGCGGACGGACATCTACGTCACCAGCTTTGGCCCAGTGTCCGACACGGAAATGGTAGGTACTACAGCATGGCCCACACAGACAATTCTAAATAAACAGGAGACAACTCCTTGTAAGGACCTCTTCTACTCAGATATCGCCTCATTGCCTTCCTTTGCCTTAGGAATATACCATAGATGTGTTTTTTCGACAAAGCTGGAAAGATGAAAGGCTCCGGTTCAAAGGACCTATGCAGCGTCTCCCTCTCAACAACCTTCTTGCCAGCAAAATCTGGACCCCGGACACATTCTTCCACAACGGGAAGAAGTCCATCGCGCACAACATGACCACGCCCAATAAGCTGCTGCGGCTGGAGGATGACGGCACGCTGCTCTACACCATGCGGTGAGCGCGGGCTGCAGGACAGGGCCACGGCGGGTGTGGGGACAGCGAGGGCCAGGCGGGACCACTGACCCCTCAAGGCCCTGTGGCCTAGGCAATCCGAAGATGGGGTTGAGGATTGCACCAAGTGTGTTTGGCGAAGGTGTGCAGATGCAGGGTGCTTGCTGAGTGTTTTGTACCTCTGTCCTAAAACTATGTGGATTCTTTTCCTGGGCTGCTAGAAGGTCATGGTCATCAGTTATTTGTACTTGATTCTTTGGTTTAGGCTCAAGAGCATCTTTGGAATTAGTGACCCAGATAATGTAAGACAGGCAAAAGTTATTTTATATAACTATTATTTAAATTTTATTAACAATCTAAAAAGAACCTTTTTTGTGTTGCATTTGTGCAAGGTTTAAAAGCCCATTTCTCATAAGCTTTAAGTGTTGAGGAAAATGTTTAGTACTTCTAAATTAAAATCATTGTTAGTCATTCTGTTCTGAATTTTTCACTGACTTCAGTTCATCCGTCAAGTAATCCATAAGTCAGTAACTAAATAAATAAATTGACCAAAGAGAAAGGCCTCTTTATAGCATTTCAAAGTTTCCATGGTGGGCCTACGTAGGCTTCAGAAAAACATTTCAAAGATAAACAAAAACCAAAACAAACTGCTAACGTCAAGTTACCAAAAACCATGCATGCATTTATGTAAGTATTCCTAGAATTTCTCTGTATCTTGCTACAATTTTTCAGGATAGACTTTATATCTAAAATAAGTAATCATAGTAGAATTGATATTGTCACCTTTGGAGCCTACATTTTCTAACATGTGTCCTGAGAAGCACTTGGACATACAGCGTCCCAAACCTGTAGTTTTGACTACAGTTGGATTTGATTTTTTCCTGTAGTGGCCCACTAAGGAGCTCTGATGAGGGAGCCTGTAAAAGACACACTGACAATGCATCCTATTCCTCATGTCTTCCTTTTCCTTACACTGATCTTCAACATGTTTTGTTCAAAGATGGACACATGGTCTATGAGCACCAGTGTCCTTTTCTTCATGCAGAAAAGTATGTTAGGAAACTGAGAAGTATTACCAGGGTCGAGAATAAGTCCTTGGTCATTGTCCTGTCAAAGCAAGGGCATGGGGAGAAACTGAAGGCAGTCTCAGTGAGCTGTTGTGAGACAGTCTGAGGTCTTGGAGCATGCTAGGAGCCACCCACAATTGTGTGAATGATTTGATGCGATTATTGTAGGCGTGACTGTGTTTTGTTCATAGGATAAAATTATTTCCAGTCCTCACTGAATTGTTTTCCTTGGTTTTTGTCTCTAAGAGACCAGTTAGGTCCAAAGCCTAAAAGATATATGACAAAATGTGCAGTTTTACCTCCAGAAGGCAATGGAATGCCACCATTCCTGACATTGCCTAAATGGGGTGTGGATTTAAGACCACTGTTTAGAAGAGGAAGAGGCAGAAGTGGGGACCGCTGGCTGAGTTCTGTGTTCCAGGCACAGACATGGACTCCTTCAGTCCTCAAGGAGCCCTGCCGGCCAGGTAACACCATGTCCATTAATGCCCAGAGAGAGTGAGGCTCAAAGGTGTTTGACAATCAACCCAGGGTCACACAGCTAGGGAAGGGGCAACACGAATTGGAGCTTGGGTACTTAATCCATCACATTTGAAAATTGGAGGGGTGCTACATTATTGTATGTAAGAGAGCCTTCTTAGTCCCGTCTTCGGAATGTCATGCCCAGGAGGAAGCCCGTGAGAGGTGAGGGCCAGAGCAACTTCTCAATAGTAATGGGTGGTTGTTTATGCAGAGTAAGTCTGCTAAGGAGCTGCAAAGTTGATAGTGAGTTTGTTTTTTCAGTTATATACAACATTTGGAAAGCAGAAACAGTTCTTCACAGTATTATGAATATTAATGAGCTGGAACTACAGCTATAAGGTGAAGCATCTTACTGATTTAACAAAGGTAGTGAACTGGCAGTACAAATTACTGTTGAAAATACAGATCACGTCGTGAGTAGTGTCTGGTGCCCCACACATCAGGGGGGTATTTTACATGGACCAGCCTTTCCATTCATTACTGGGCCACCCCTGTAAAGTCTGGTGTGTAGTTTGGATCTATGTACCTTAATGATCCACGTATTAAAGACTTGATCCTTAGTGTGGCACTATTAGGAGCAAGATAGAACTTAAGAGGTAGGACCTAGTGGGAGGTTTTCAGGTCACTGGGAGTGTGCCCCTGAAGGGTATTGTGAGATTCTGCCCCTTCTTCCTCTCTTTGGCTCCCTGGCATAACATGATTGACTTTGCTTTGTCACACATTCCTGCCTTGACATGCTGTCTTGCCACAGGACCAATCAGCCTTGCACTGAGACTTCCAAAACTGTGATCTAAAAAAAGCTTTCTTTTTTATAAGTTAATTTATCCCAGGTGTTTCTTACAATAATGGAAAGTTGGGTAATACACTTTGTAAAACCAGTTTTACATGGATCCAGTAATTCCTAGGTAGTAACCATCTTAAGGAAATCATTAGGAACTTGCTCTAAATTTCACACTCAAAGACATCTATTGTGACAACCTATGATGTCAAACATTGGAAGAAATATAAGATTGTGGCAAATTTTTCAAATAAAATTGTGCTGTGATTCTTTCTTCAGTCTTCGTAAAACCATTGAGGGTTCACAAAACATGTAGAAATGTTTAAAAGTAGTAGAGTCACCATGTTTTAAAAAATAATCTTCCAAATAAAAGAAAAATAAAATGTAACTTCAGATAAGTGATTGCACTAGGATAGGATTTTTAATGTAAAATCCCTACCACACCCCAGAAGGTCCTTTAAGTTAGTATTCCTTTGAAGATAACACACAATTGAACAAGCCGGAATTCTCCCATAGGTGAGTCAAAAGAAGCCATGGGAAAGGTTGTTGCTTAGTCGCTAAATGTCTGGCAAACATTTGACATAGAGCTAATTGACAGTGTTGATTCTGAAGATGTTGAATCATTCTTGAAGGGGCTAAAGATACAGGGTGAGTCCAAACGTTTCCCACTGGATCTTCACAAAGAGGCCACTTGGGACTGGGAGTGTAGCTCAGTTGTAGAGCACATGTGAAAGGTCCCAGCCCCCCAAACAGGCATGCATACAGTCCAAATGTTCCTCAACTTCCAATAGGTTTGTATCTCCATAAACCCATCATAAATTGAACATATCCTAAGCTGAAAATGCATCTCATACACCTAAGCTGCCGAGTGCCCTAGTTGGTTACACGGTGCACTGCAAATTAAATCTCTTCCTCCTTCTCTGAGTGGGAGTTGTGGCTTGCTGCTACTGTCCGGCATTGAGAGACGGTCACTCCACAGTTTGCTGACTTGGGAAAAGATAAAATACGCAACTCAAAGTGCAGCTTCTCTTGAATGCATATTCCTTTCACACGATCTTAAAGTCCAAATATTGTAAACCAACTTATAGGAAGTTGGAGGCCATTTGTGCTGAACAGTTTCTTCCAGAACAGTCTTTCAGCAAACACACCACCCCCAGAGTTGTGCTTCAAATATTAGGCAGCATGGTCAGGCTGCTTATAATAGGGGGAGCCCCAACAGTGCAGCACCCCCTCTTCCATCCTTGGTCAGGCCTTTCTTCTCAGGACTGCACAGGTAAGGGGTACTAACCTCAGATACTGCCTTTAGTCAACCCAGAATCTGGATGAGTGACTTTTGCCATGGCCACAATACATAGTTGCTTTTTTTTTTTTTTAGGTGGAACTTTTAGTCTTCACTGGTACTTCCTAATTCATTGCCAGACAAGCCTTTGCAGTACAAAGTAGCCACCTCTCTCAGAGAGCATGCTAAGTCTTGGTATACAGTCCTTTGTGAGCAGGTGAGCTGAGAGAACAATGGCTAACTTTCATCTCCCTTTCTCCCATACCCTCTGAAAGCGCAAGCTCTTGTGAGAACATATGCTGAGGGCCACTTTAGGGAATATTCCCCTGGATTTTGGGCCCCTGGCAAGAGAGTGAGTCTCCCCTTAGTCTGTACGATAGGAAACTGCTACAGGTCAGCAAGGGTTTGCAAGAAAGTGGGCTCTGCTGGAATCACAGTTCTGCCTGTCTCAGAAAAGCCTGAGAATTTTCTACCCACAGTCACCTTGGCCACGTGTGTGTGGTAGAAGGATTTGGACACACACTTCAAAATGTTGAGTGTTGCTGCAGTGGAATGCGTGGCTTGAGTAAGGAAACTCCAGACAGTGTTGTGGGTTGACTGTCATACCACACCCTCTCCTTTGCACAGTAGGTTTACCCCTCTGCTGTTTTGGTTGTAAAAAGCACATTTTTTATGATTGTTTACACTCCCTTTAGAATTTCATCTTTAAGTGGAAGAGCACGTTGGAGATAGGCTGACTTAAGTCCAACTTCTGTCATTCAGTACTTCATGAATACTGGTCAGTTTACACTGATCTTTTAGAACTACTGGTTAGTGTGTGTGTGTGTGTGTGTGTGTGTGTGTGTGTGTGTGTGTGTGTGTGTGTTTCTTTTCTTCTAATGTTGTAGTGCATTGTAGGTCTGAGACTCAGTTTTGAGGACTGCTGGAAAATACACATATTCCCTTGAGTGGCCACTGGAGGGCAGCATACTCACATTTTGCTTAGCAAATAGCAAAATTTTCATTAAGTGAAAATATAGGTAACTAACTTGTAGGAAATTATATATGTCATATACATTCGATTTGTGTGTAATGTACTTGAAGGAATTTAGAAATTTTAAACTAGATGCTGAGATGTGTGTTTACATGTACAAATATAAGTATCTTATGTGTAAGACAGTGTCTAGTTAAAAACCTCTCATGAACTAATAGATATATTGGCTGAATATGCCAATTGTAAGGTAACATTTACTTTATAATGTTAAGTAACAAAGTATGACTTTAAAATCTGTAAAATCACAATGTATTGTGATTTACAACATGAAGGCCAAAAAGAATCAGCATTTGGTATATATCCTGTATATGTGTGTGATACATA